CCTCCTGCAGCTACTCAAGTGCCTGTGAAGAGTTGTGCCTTGCTAAGTGAGTTCAAGATTTGTCAGAGGTTTTGCAGGCTGCAGTGGCTTTTAGGAATGGTCTGAAAGACATAACTACATGCAGCTCTGTTCTTAGAGAGCTACAGGGCTTCCATGCTAAAGTTCCCTTGCTACTTGCTAAGAGGTGAGTACCGTTATCAACTGACTTGCAAATAAGTCACAAAAAAAAAAAATTCAAAGCTATTGTCAGCACCTTTCTAGATGCTGTTAGTACTTGCAGATACAACGTTAAAACAAACTATACCCTTCTTTGCTGCACCATCCCTAGAACGATCACACTGGTACTTAAAAAAGCTCCAAAAAGAAGGCACATCTGCTTCGCGGGTTGGGTGGGCCTAAGCCTTTCTTAGTTACTAGAATTACATGTTTCAACCCACAACATGGAAACAGACTCCAATGAATGGGAGAAAAGGGTCTGGAGAGGGGCTCAGGTTCGATCTGGGTGCAGAAGTGGCGTAGTTTGAAGCACAAACTAAAGCGTTCCAGCTGCAAGTCAAACCCAGGAATGCATCCTGCAAGATCTTATTTTTCTGTAGGGCTGGTAACATGAGCATTCAAATCATTCACTGCCTTTGAAGCCTGTGAAATCCATAATGGCCACAAAGTGAACATGTAACAACTACATTTCAATTACCAAAGGCTGGTCAAGTACCTGGCTTTATTCTCTCCAGTAACAAAACTCCCATCGACTTCAAAGGGGTTGGGATTTACTCCACAGCGCAAGTGCTGGGTCCAGTGAAATCCGAGATGTAACTCTGGGACGAGGCATTTTAGCTTCTGAAGGTGCAGACAGATGGGCAGGATCGAGCTCTGATGTTGAGGGGAGCTACACAGGCTGCATTTTTTTTTTCTGCAGCTTCAGGTTCATAACTTGAGGATGATGCCCCGACGGATAATCTGCCCCAGAACTGCATGGGTACTTTTTGAAAATACAGAAGTTCCTACCAGTTGCAGTAGGAGTTAGGTTTCCAACCTGCTTAGCTGCTGTTAGAAATCCCACTACATACCTGCCTGTCTCTTCAGCACTTAAGTCCCTTTGAAATTCTTGCTTTGGCCATTGCTTACAACAATAGTGGAGATCCTGAGGGTAATGGATATTTCTTTTGTGTAGTAGTTCACAAACTATTTCATGATTCCGCTGTAAAAGTATCAAAGTTCATTTTTCTCAGGCTCATATCCATAAGCTTTATTTTGACGTGTTCCCTGTGTAGGTGCCTGAGATAAATGACCTTCAACACCTTGTAGCAAGCCTTGTGCCCTGTGATGGGCGCTCCCTGGCACTGGCAGCTGCTTTGCTTTCCCACAGCACCCGGGAGGGAGGAGACGGAGGCTTGAGCAGCACCCGGCTCCCTGATGGCAACCTTTAGTTCCCACTAGCAGGGTTTGTGACCACAAACAGGGACTTGATGTCCTGCTGCTCAGCACCCTTCTCAAGCCAGTCACTGGCCTTATAAACCTCTTTCCCAGGCTTTTGGGTGAGTGAACCATGAAGACCAAACAGAAGTTGGACATGAGTCACTGGACTTTATGCACACGAAAGCTTTGAGACATGTTATATTAGTCAAAACATCAACTGTTTTCACAGTGTTTATGATATTAGGAACATTTTTGTTCATGAATGTACTTGTTTGCTTAAAGTGAATAACTGATGCTTTGTGCCTAAAGAATGCTGTACGTGCCTTTTTATAAAGGAGATGTTGCCAGTTTGAAAAGCTTGCCTTGCAACGAATGCATAGATTTGGAAAGGCCAGAAAGAATATTTGATCACTTAGTCTGGTTTCCTATAAACACCTGTAATAATACCTTCAGTTTGACAGAGATATCCAGAGTGGCATCCCCTCTGCTGCAAAGGACAGAGCTGGGCTCTCATTTTTACTGCCAGGGCTGTTAGGTGTCTATCTGCCCACGGCTGAGCAGGTGGATGGAGGAGAGCTTCCACCCTGTGTTTAAATGTCGGTACCATTGAGGGGCAGGATTTCAGAAATAGTCTGCTGTGGGTGCAACTGTTTGTCTGGAAACACCTATGCCTGTATTTTTCACTGGCAATAAATTGCAGACAAGAGATGTTGCTGGTTAGATACCTGCCAACCTGTCTGAACTCGTAAAACAAGTCATTAATTGTTGAACTGCTCGTACTTATGGTTTATTTGAACTGAGGGCACACCATCACACGCTCCAAACTGGAGGCTGATCTGAGGTTTAACTGAAAATCAAGCCTCCAGCATATCCAATGGTCTCTTCACCCTCAAAGGAAAAAATCTCAAGTCAGGCTCAGCTTGGGCTTTTCAGCTGCATCCCGTGCTGGTTTTGTGGCCCTAGAAGCTGTCCTGATCCCTGCCATGTGTTGCTGTGTTACGAAGTGTGTAGCTGCCTCTGGGGAGCCTGGCACTGGGCTTCTGTGCCTTGGTGCGCTTAAACAGGAGGTGCGCGTTGCAGGGGGCACAGCCCAGGAGAATACCTGGTGTTTCAGATCCCAAAAGGCGATTCCAGCAATCTCCTGGGAGATCCCACTGCTCCTTTATCATCGTAAGAGCATAGGGAGAGGGAAAACCATTTGGTTTTTTGTTGGCCATTGTACCTGCTGTGCTCTAGGGACAGGAATCTACAAAGCCAAACACCAGCAAAGGTTTTCTTGCCTGCGTGGGGGGGGAGGGTTTGGCTTTGTTTTGCTCTTGTTGCTAACAACGTCAGATGGGTCTGACTTTCCAGCCCGCTCAGGATGAGACAAACAGCCAAGGAAGCATCAAAGTGAATGGGTGGTTTTTGATCAACATTGGAGAGAGTTTGTTTTCTTTCTCCACTTGCCGAATGACACACTGACTTGGATGACTGGTCTGTGACAGAGCCGGTTGGAAAATGTCAGTGGAAAAATGCAGAAAAAGAGCAAATATTTTTACAAATGTTAGGGACAATATTTTACCTTTGGTCAATCCAAACCAACAGGAATATTTTTTCAGGACAAACTGTTCAAAACTCACCATTGCCTGTGCCAAAATGTATGCGAAGGGTGAAAACGCATGAACACTCGTTAAAAAAAGGGTTCCTGTGGTGAATATGACGCCGTAAAATTGCATCTGATCTTGTAGCTGGAAGATCTGTATAATTAGCAAGATTCCTCACCCCTTCCAGCCAGTGGTTCATGTAGATGCCTGCCCTTTGCATACATTTTTTTTCCTTTAGGAATAAGACCTTATGAAGGAGACAGTTTGCAGAAACACTTGATGCTCCAAGCAGTTGTATACCCTTAACTATCGCCAGTGGGTACCTTGCAGCCCTCTCTAAACATACTTTTAACAAACCTGTAGCTGTATCATCTCTAAAATTAAGGTAATAAATGTCATCCTAACTCTGTCAGTAAGTTTCCTAGTAGGCACCTACCTCACTAATCAGGATCTGAAGGAGAACTTCCCCGGCATCTGATGAGGAAGGCCATTTACTCCCAGAACAGGTTTCTGGCAATTCCCTAATGCCCTGGCACGCTGGTGAGGCCCTCTTCAGCTGCCAACACGGAGCTTGTTTCTGCTCTTCCCAAGAGTGAAAAGTCATCCCTGCAGGCTTGTACCTGTATAACTTACTCAAGAAATACAGCAAAGGGAGGCTTCTATCTCTGGAAGGGCCTAAGATGGAATAACCTTAAATGCTTGCAGTAAGCAGGACATCTCACGGGTCCTATGCACATTTGTGGCTTGTTGCCTTCTCCTTTAAGAAAGCCTGGTTAAAATGTATAGTTTGAATTATTGTTTGATAAAAATAGATAATTGTTAGCATAGTCCGCAAACCCTGCAAATAATTGTGTCATTAGAAATGCCAAGAGAACCATGGGTTTTGACCCATAAAATTGGAATTTCAGATGTGAAAGAAAAACACACCCATATTTAAAAAGTATACCATACAGCAAAGCTGGGAGAAATTCTCACCATTTAAAAACTAATAAGGTTTTGATAAGGTTTCCTCTCATATTTTAATGGATCAAAAAATGGAAAACGTTTTTTTTTCTGCATTTTTATTAGCTCTTATAAAAATATAAAGCCCCCTTTTTAAATCCTTAGTGTTTCTCTTTTCATAAACCTAAATTAGGGCTGTAGTATTATTATCCCATATTTAGTAGTCCTAGAGAATAACTTTTAACTAGCACGTGACTGTAAATACGTTTCGTGTAAATAAATGCAATCTCACTTTTGGTAGGATTTGTATGTAAAAGAAGTATGTGCAAATGAAACTAAGTGCCTTTGATAAATGGCTTGGGATTGCTGATTAATTGGAACTAAAAACAGATGAGAAAATTGAACATATGTTCTTATTCAAGTTCCCTGGAGGATTTGTTAGGGAGCTTAGCATACATTAATAATTGCTTGGAATGGATTTAATAGCTCATCTTGTAGTTTTGCACACACAAAACAATCAGTCAATATAAAAAGCATGGTGTCATCTGTCTTTGTTAATTAGGGATCTCAAAAGCCTTTGGTAATAAAGGCTAGTAATTAAGCTACAATTAGAAAGGAAGCATTCGGATGTGGGTTTGCCACCTCAGGATCCATAAGCGGCAGGAGGAACAGGGTAAGTCTTCCAGAAATCTTGAAATACTCTGACTTTACGATCTTTTCCTGCACTAGCACACAGCCAGGCTTGTTTGTTCCTCAGCTACCGGCTGCTCCCAGGGACAAGAGTGACAGCGCTGGGGATGCTCCTGGGGGCACGCAGAGGCTTGCAGGGCACCTCCTCCCCATGCCCTCCCTGGCTGACCAGACATGGCAGCTACGTGCCCACTGCATCAGCACTGGCTGAGATTTCACTGCACCGCTGCGATGCCTAAGCCCAGCTCTTCAGACACATTTGACGGCACCAGTATTACTAAAAATATAGTAATAACTTTTTGAAGGAACATACTGTGCTTGCGCTTTCATCAGGATTTGCCTTGGGGATTTCATCGGGTCACTCACCTTCCCGGGTGCTCCTGGAGTACCTGGTAGACACTAATCTGGAACGTTTCGTTATCGAAGCGTTCGCGGATGTAATCTTTATATATCCTGAACTCGGCAGCCGTCACCGCTTCCCCCTCTGGGATTCTGGAGAGATCAAACCTGAACTCTCGGTAGTGGCAGCGCTGATGGTGAAACTCTCTGTCATGCTCCACTGAAACAGAAAAACAGCCCATTAGCCACCTGCTTTGTTCCCCTTCCCCTCACCATCAAACAAGCTTGCGAGTTGCCACAACAGAAAAGGGCAAGAATATCTGATTGCAGCATCTCATGCTGTTGTTCGGTTCATTAAAGGACGCAGGAAATACATGACTCCATCGGGGCTATTATAAGCATATATGTGTTTATCAGACTCTCTTCGAAACAGTTTTACAGCTGGCTGGTACAGGGTGTGGGTGACCGTTGTGTTTTAATGATTTCTGGCAGCTTCATGCTTGACAAGTGACTCTGGACGTTTGCCACCGATAACGACCAGGCTGCTGTGGGAAGGAGCTGAAAGAAACAGATGGGGCTTTTCAGGAGTGCTGGTTCTTGGCCTGACTCTGCTTCTGAAAATTACACACGCATACATGCATACCCGCACACATATATACACAAATTCTGGTCCTTGGGGCTTTTCATGCCAGTGACACGCATTCACTGCCAGCTGAATTCACCACAAACTCACAGCCCCACTCCGAAGGGTCAAAGCTTTCATTTTAAAGGATCTTTAGTGATCAGGGCTGTGAAGCAAATGTTCAAAATGAGGACCTTCTTCCAACTCCCAACCCTGACCGTGAAATAACAAGAAGTGCCAGAGTCCTCCCAAGACAGTGTCAGGACGGTGCGTTATCCCACTGAGTGACAGGTCTGCCTGTCTTCTGATGGACAGCTGATGGTCTCGTGTAACGCTGCTTGTGGATATTGAAGCTGAGGGTCAGTGATGTGAGGAAACAAAGATTTTGAGACTGTCCTCCAGCAAGGGGGAGGAGAGGTGTCAGTGCCCCAGCCCAGCACATGAAGTGAAGCGCCCTTCTTGGAACAAATTCCAAATTGAATAGACAAGTCAGACAAAGGAAAATGGGGGAACAGAGGTATAAGGGATGAACCGACTCCCCAGAGGTCACACCGCACAACATTTTAAGAGCTGAGGCTTGAACCAGGGACTTCCCGTACATCCCAGTCCCGTCGTCTGTCCACTTGACCTCCCTGCAGCTCGACTGCACAATTCAAGTAGTTAGCTCTGAGATTTTCTTGGCAAAGAATGTGTGTCTTTCTACAGGCCTGATTCTCTTCTGGCAGCGGTAAATCCATTGTGTAAATCCATTGACTTAAATGGAATTACTCCTGAAAAAGACGAGTTTCAAGCCTGAGTCTGGAAAGTGCTATTTAAATTTACAGTGCTGCACGGTACAAATGTATATCAGCACTCACAAGGGCCTCCCCTGTGGCAGGGACGGAGCGCGGGGAGCCTCCGGGAACCGGGCTGCGTCCAAGCGCTTACAGGGAGCAGGTTCGGCGCTGCTTGGACGCAATTCAGCAGCTGGCCACGGGCTCTTCCTCCTCTCGCACATTACTTCTGCAAGGAGTCCAGGGCTCGCAGTTTGCCACTGTGTGATTGCTGCTCAGGGAAATACTTCAGAGCTCTTACTAATAGTTGGGATTCATCTTAGAGGAGTTTTTTAGGTATGAAACCCCTAAACTTTCCAAGACAAAGGCGATTAAGTTCAGCAAATGGTTTTATGGGTTGAGCAGTCTTAGCGTGCACTAAATGAATAAAGTTATAGTTGCACCTCTAGCTATAACATCTCGTACAGTCTCAGGAAGATCACGCAGTCTCTCGTACCCTGAAGTGGGGGAACATGGTGAATATTCACCAGTGTTTGTAAAACACTTGGCAGGCTAAAACTGCCCTGTAAGTGCTAGCAACACTATCAAATGTGCCTCAGTCCCCTTCCTCCAAAGTATTCTCAGCAGAATAAGATATAAAGAGTATGATTTCAGTCTCAAAGGAATTTGTCTGTGCCTAAATTATAGAGGGGAGGAAAAAATATTTTAATATGGAATAGCTCCTTTAACCACAACTATAGAAGAATGAATATAATGTTGTGCGGGTTTAGTTATATTACGGATAGCATCACCAGCAGGGTGTATTATAGAGAGGTCTAGCAGTAGGATGTACCAATATGATTTGCTTCCCAAGACATGAGAAGGCTGAATTTTCAAAGGAAGGTGGGTGCACCTTTTCATTGTACATATGCGATGACAACTACATCGGCCAACACCAGTCTTTAGCTGTACTTCATACACAAAATCTGACAACAAACACATGAAGATGAAACTTTTTCGGGTGCTGCTAGAGTTCACAGTGATTCCCACTGCAGAGCCCTAGAAAAAATGTGTCATATTAGTATGAAAAATTAATGGCCAGGGTCATAAAATAAAGAGCCCTGAAGTTTGAACTTTCCCATGCTTTGCAGATGTTTGGATATAGGGTTTTGGCCTGAGCCATCTTTAGTGTTAAAGCAAACATTCCTGTGGCTATAGTCATTAAGATCATGAAAATATGTGGATATATAACTGAAGAAAGAATCCCAAGAAACTCTTCAACTCAGTGTTTATTGTTTTTCCCCTTTTTCTTTGCACTCTGGACCTATCTGCTGACCCAGAAGTAACAAATCCTTTCAGAACTAATTTATGAGAAACACTGACCCTGAATCAACATCTGTTAGATGACTGTAGTAAATCTTATTACATAATTAAACACCAAAATCTATGTTAAAATAATGTTAAGGGTCTGACTTGAACTCATAAAAGCAAGACTCTTCATTATGAAGGCTGAAATCCTATCCTTAATTCATGCTGCTGTGCGTTGGTATTTGTGAACATATGGTACAGTATATATGATCGTGCACTTTTTGTAGACCCCAGTAATACCTTAAGCACAAAGCACGAGGTAAGCAGGGGAGCGCTCAAGAAGTCTGAGTTTCCTGGGTTTGATGGGTGTTAGTCAGACCTTTGACAATACTGCCATTGGGTCGTTTCCAATTAATTACCTGAGGAGTTTGAATGGGGGGAAGGGGGGGGGGGGAGTGGTGTTTAAAAAAAAAAAGAGGGAGGGAGAGCGGTATTTTAAGTGTTCACAGAAACAGACACGAGAATTGCTACAGCTCGTTGAATACGACTGTAGTTTCTCCATTAGATCTTGTCCTGGTTTCAGCTGGGATAGCGTTGATTTTTCTTCCTAGTAGCTGGTATAGTGCTGTGTTTTGGATTTAGTATGAGAATAATGTTGATAACACACTGATGTTTTAGTTGTTGCTAAGTAGTGCTTACACTGGTCAAGAACTTTTCAGCTTCCCCTGCTCTGCCAGGTGCACAAGAAGCTGGGAGGGAGCACAGCCAGGACAGCTGACCCAGA